AGAGCTGAGAAGGTAAAGGCACTGATACCAAACCCGAGGACCTGAGTCTGATCCTGCAACTCACTGGAGAGAACTGACTCCAATTTGTCCACTGACCTACACAAGACCACTGCCATGTGCTCCCTTTTTGCCAAAAATAAATGCTTAAAAATTTAAAAACAAACAGACATAAGCCTGCAAATGAATCATTGCCTGAATGAAAGCTATTCAGGAGCAGCGTGACCAGCAGCTTTACTTCTCAAGGTAACAAACAGGCTCTACTAACATTTTAAAGCCTATTTAGGAGCTATTCCACAGCTGGAGTCAGTGGCTCCTTCAGAGCACAGGGGAAATCATAAAAAGGAATTCATTTAAAAGCAACTCCAAAACCAGTATTCATGAAAATCACAGTGGAAAGTGACCTATCCACCACGTATGAGATAAAACCATGAGTTTCTAAAATCAGAAATTAAGTTTCCCATTGGTGTGAAAACTTTTACCCACTATTCCAAAGCCCCTGTCCTTGAAGATAATTTTGATAACTGCAAGGAAAGTCACAAACATCAAAATAAAAGCAGTTGTTGAGACACGTGTGTGTGCACCATGCCCTATCTGCCTCTTAAACTAGAGATGTGGGACAGAGATGATTTAAGTCATCACCATCAGAATCATGAAAACTCGGGCATAAACTGAAGACACAGCTCAGTGCTGCAGTGCTGGCTTAGGTTGCCAGGGGCCTTTGCTTCTCAGCATTAAAGGAAAACATTGATAAGCTGATGTTTGTCCAAAGCAGACCTGATTATCTTGGTTCAAATCAAGGCCTCACCACTTACCGGCTCTGTCACTGAGACGGCTACTTAATTTCTCTTGAAGGTTGGTATAAAAAGAGGATTAATGTATAAAGTATGCTAACACTGGCTCCTTCAAAGTAGTGTTCTCGATGTATTAGCTTTAGTAGTCTTTCAAGTCTTTCAATCTGCCACTAAATGTGTAAGTTGAAGGTGTGTTCATTCATCTTGTTTCAAGATCTCAAGAGGTTTTGCTATTGTTTCTGAAAGGAGAGTTCTGTCTTTAATGTGGGAAGGTCTTTCAAAGGAATTTAAGACTGAAGTGTTCAAAAGAGAATGGTTTAATATGTGTAATTATATTTCTTCTACAACTTTTCTCTAATCCTAAAGGCATGATTAAAGAGAAATTTGTATTATATTTCATTTCATGGTTTCTTTGCCACTCTTGTCTAATATTGTCTATTTGCCCTCTGCTTTGACCGCCTCTGCCATTACTCTGTTTCTTTTCTAGTATTTTCTATGTCCCTCTGCTTTGACTGCCTCTGCCATTACTATTTCTTTTCTAATATTTTCTATGTCCTTATCCTTTGACTGCCTCTACTATTACTGAGGAGCTCTTACAAAGAGCTCATGCCTCCAGTTTCTCTGTTGTCCACTCTTATACTATATATGTATAGTATAAGAGACTATATTAAGATGCGTGTGTGTGCCCCATGCTCTTATGCTCTATCCACCTATTAAACTAGAGATGTGGGACAGAAATGATTTAAGTCATCACCATCAGAATCATGAAAACTCGGGCATAAGCTAAAGACACAGCATATATATATATATATATATATATATATATATATACACACATACATATGCTGCTTTAAAACAGTAATGGAGAACAAACCCTGGCCCTTGAACCTGTTAAGCAAACACTGAGCTGCTGAGCGACACTAACTAGAGATGAATGTTTTCAAGTGTCAATTTATTTCCTGTACTACTTAGCTCCCAAATTCCTTCAGTTCCCTGTCTTCAAAACCTAATATGTAAGGCCCTATCCAATTTGACTATTACTTAATGTTCCTTTTACAATAATACCTCTTATAAGCTCAGTGCTCTATTACAGTAGTTCATCATGAACACTTTTGTTCCCAACACACATTTGGCTGTCTTCACTGTCAAAGACATGATTCAGAATCACTTAAGAGACACGCCTTTGCATGCATTTGGGGGTTTCCAAAGAAGACTGACAAGAGAAGGTCCACATTTAAATGTGCAGCAGCATCCCATGAGGGGCCCAGACTAAAGAAAAGTAAAAAGGAGAAAGCCATTTGAGTACCAGGATTCCTGCCTGTTTCCTGTTCCACGTCAGAGTGAGCACCTTTCTGCTCCCACAGAATCGAGCTGCTCCTGCTGCTACAGGTCTCTGCAGTAACAGCCTGCATCCCCTAACCCATGAGGTGAAAACCTGTCCTTCGGTTGCTTCTTGTCCCAGTGAGGAGAAAAGTGGTTATATTGACAAAATTGTTACTGAAAAGAGGAGATGATGCTGTAGCGGACATGGTTCATTGATTTGTGGGATTCATGTTGAAGAGTTTGGAGCTGTGGGCTAGGGAGGTCCTAGAATGTTGTAAAGATAGGGAAGCAGAGATTTTGGGCCATTCCCTTCGAATTCAGAAGACTGCAACACCAGATGAAATACAGGGAGCTTCAGAAGAGGACACAATTTGATAGAGGCTTGTCAGTCAGGTTCTCTACAGGAACAGAATCAAGATAAATACACACACACACACACACACACACACACACACACACACACACACACCAGAATTTATTACATGAGCTTCTAAATAGTAATGACAGTCAAATCACATTTCGGATGGTAAGAGCATGATATTGGGTCCTTTGAGGTTGGGTGCCTCAACAGTCAGAATAGTCCCAGAATAGTTCTCTCTCACTAGGGAATGCTGACCAGCAGTTATTCAGTCCACAAAGCAGGGTGCCTCAGTAGTCCCAGTTTGGTACTGGAAACCTGGAAAATTCCCGAGAGCCCTCGTCCAGGATAAAAGCTTGGAAGTGCTGACTCTGCTACTGGTTGTGATGGGAAAAGGGGCAGGAGCAGCAACAGGGCCCATGAACTTGGCCAGCAAGAGGGAAGGACAAGTGAGTAAGCAGCAGGCAAGAGAAACTTCCTTCTGAAAGGTTCTCTATTATCTGGTTAGCTACCCGAAGGTGACCAGCCTTCCCATATCAAGTCAGTTCTTCAGGTGGGGCTCACTACCGGGCTGATTCTTAACTGTGGCAAACTGACATTAAAACCAACCATTTTAAAGACACTGATTGTTTCACCTGTGTACTGCAAAATTGAATGAGGCTAAATTCAAAAGTCATGGACTAAGGTGTTTGGCAGAAGAAATTTCAAGACAATGTAACATCCAGGCAGTGGCATGGTTATTACTTACTTCGTTATGGATCTGCAGTGGGAAAGAGTGGAAGTGGATTCAGTCTGAGAGAGGGAAGCAGAGATTATATGGAAAAGGTGCCATTCTGGCAAGAAGAGCAGTGTGATCCTGGAGAAAATCGACAGCCATGTGCACTTTGTCCAGAAAGGGAGCTTGAGCCTTGTTAAAGCTGGGATATGTTCAGAAGTTACCTATAGGTGACTAGCTATCCATCAAAGTATTACAAAAATACACTTTATCTCTGTAGATTCCAAGGAGCCCTCAACATGCAGTGTTTGGGGAGCTTTCTAAGAGATTCATGGCTTCAACAAAAATACATTTATAGCTTTAGGAATTATATGGCAGGAAAAGGAATGTTAGATCAACACATATTTCATATCTTAATTGTGCAGCTTATTGTATGTTAATCAGTTCACATAATACCAAAAAGGTTAAAAAAAAAAAAGAACTGTCTTTGGGGAAGAGCAGGGATTTTAGGAATTGCAATTCAGAAGACATCAGGGATTTAGGTAGCTGTCAATCAATGTTCCTCCAAGCAAGGTATAAAAAGTAGGAGCTTAAATGGGACACTGAAGGCTGAGAAAGACCAAGGGACACAGCACACAACAGAAAAAGGATATATGAACAGAGTGGTAGTGTCCATGAGTCAAGCCTGAGGACATCTCGACCCTCTGGGCACAGTACAGTCCAGCATTCCGATGCCTGAGGTTAGAATGGAAGCGACCACATTCTAGGCAGCAGCTAGGACTGTGCGTAAGTGCTGCTTAATAGCTTCCATTCTGAAAAACTTTCTTTCTTGCATTACATTTTTCTTTTGAATTTCAGGCAATCCATCACCAACACTGTTAAGAGTTTTAAATTAGGTATTGAAATTTATCAAAATTCTCCATATAATCTTATTTTGCTACATTTCCACTTGTGTGGAATGGCTTCTTGCTGCACATTTCTTGTATTTTGAGCATCAACATCTATTTTCCTTTACATTGGAGGCGACACTATCATTTCTAACTCCATGTATTTTGTATGTTACTGGATCCATTCCTGGCACCAGTATGGAGAATATCACAAAGGATAAGCCAGTGGGTATCTCGCAAATGTGAAGTCCCTAATGACCGAGATTTGCTCCAGTGGGCACTTGACCCATTTAGAAACAATGGTTCACAATAGGCATTTACTATGATTTTTGCAACAAACATTTATTGGATATGATAGTGATGAGATTTAAAGACTTGTATTTGTCACTGCAGTAAGGTAAAAAAATTTTCAAACTATATAGCCAACTGAGAGAGGGAGCTTAGTGACTGTAAGAGAAAATGAGCCTTAATGATGTCTTCTAGTACCACCTACCAATGTTCAGCTCTACTTTTGGACTTCCCTGTAGTGTGAATCACTATGGCTTCTCTTTGGCCATTCTCAAAAGTTTAGTGACTCCTCAAAGATACATACTTATATATTAAAAAAAAAATGAAAGAACCTTCTTTGATACCAAGAGGGAAAGAGAAAAGTTGCAGAATCTTCCAATTCTGAAAATGTTTACAAATTCCTATATCTAAACTATACATCTTTATTCTAAATGGAGAGGGATTGTTCTGCAATAATCTGAGGCCATTTAAATTTCTCTCTGGAAAACTACATTCTGACAAAGAGCTGAGTTACCTACTCACTTTACAGTACTGGTCATCAAACACAGGGCTTTCAACATAGTGCTACCATATTTCACTCTGGTCTCCCCAGTCTTTAGGAACTCTGTTGAAAGAATTCAGACAAGACACACAAAACACACTGTAGAAGACAGGAAGAGTTTATTACAAAGTAAAAAGAGTCATTTTTGAGGATGAGGAGGGCAATGGCCAAAGTGGCCACTGGGGGGTGGGGTGGGCTTAGGGGAACCTCAAGGTGAAAGTGGACAGTGGGCAGAGACAATAGTACTGACCTACATTTTTAGGTATGCTCTGTAGTTTTTCTTTGAGTCCTTAGAACCGAGGGCTTCCTGGGCCTTTTCTTTCCCAGTTGACTGACAGGCTCATCTGGATTTAACTCTTAAGGGAGGAGGTCAGGACATCATTTGGTTTTTATTAGAAACTCTCACCAGACAGTAATCTTGGGATCTTTTCAACAGTTCCACCAAGATCTCAAGTCCCAGTCTTTTGGCTCCTAATCAGAGTTCCACAGTTTGCGTTCCTCGTTTTACACGATGATTATAAAGGGTCCAAGCTCAGTGATCTTTAAACCTATTAATGCTAGAGCTCCACCCCTGAGCTATGTAGAATTTCAATGTGTAGTCTCTCTTTTTTGCCTCTCTTGTCTCTCGAGATGGCCTGCCTTCCTTGCTTCCCTCCTTCCTTTCCTAGTCTCACTCACTATGCTAGAGAAAAAAATGCAAGAGTTTCACTGATATTTAAATTCAGTAAAAATTCAGTTGAAACTGGGTGTTCTGGATAATGCTGTTCAGAAGACTGAGGTAAGAAAAGGGTGACTACGAGTTTCAGGCCAGCCTGGACTACAGTAAGAACTGTCTCAGATGAACTAGGCCACAAGAGTAACAACAAATTAGTCAGTCACACCTGGCTAAAATTTCTCTCTCTCTCTGTGAGCTATTATGTATATGTGTATGCTTATGATATGTATAGATGTTTATGAGTCTGTGTGCATACGTATATTCATGCATGTGGAGGGCAAATACTGACACCAGGTACTTTGCTCAGTCTCGACCTTATTTGATGACAAGGTCTCACAGAACCTGGAGCTCAGCTGATTTGGCTAGACTGTGTGGCCAGCAAGAATCCTCCCATCTCTGCCTCCCAAATGCTGGGATTACAGATGTACACAGCCATGTCTGCTTGTTTTTCTTTTCCTTTTTTTTTTCATGTGGGTTACAGGAATCTAAACTTGGGTCTTTATGCCTCTGCTGCAATCATTTTACTGACAGAGCCCCCCCCCCCACCAGACTGAATACTTGTTTAAATTTAATTCAGTTAAGTATTTTTTCCAGATAGGCAAAACATACATTCATACAAATATTTTCCATCTTATAATCCTTTATTTTCTTCCTCTTCAATTCAATTCTTAAGGACTTTAATAAAACAAGAACTCTAAAAATAATGTGAAAATAAAAACAAAACAAACCCACAATAAATACAAATTGAAAGAAGTTTGGGGAGTAAGTCTGAACTACAAATATTTGTGGAGAAAAAATTCAATGTGTAAATAAAAAAAAAACCTGTCAGAACAGTAAAGAGATTTTAATGAGACAACTATAGTATAATCTGTCCTACGAGCCTGTCACATCAATGGCCCTAATGTGTTACAGCTCTGCCGTCTGTCTAGACCTGGCCATGTGAGTCAAATTGTCCTTTTTTTTTTTAGCAACCATGGAAGTTCAAGCTTGGCAAACCCTTGCACCCGGGTTTGCTCTTAGACTGTTCTCTTTCATGGCAGGAAGCACATCTTAGCCTACCAGAAGACAAGAGACCACCCAGAGCAGGAGAAGCCAGTTCACAGAACCAAGAAAAACCATAAACCTTGAGTTATTTTTATTTTGAGACAAGGTCTTGTTATGTGTCCAGGCTGGCCTTGAACTGGTAATTCTCCAGCCTTCGCCTCCCAGATACTGAAATAAACTCTTAAATACCTGAGCATTGTGGTACTTGGTTATGCAATAATGGAAAATGCCTAACTTTCTATAATGTAGTAGAGAAAATACATAAACAAATCTATGCTTACTATGAAAACAATTAAGGTTTATAAGCAACATTATCAAAATTGCTGTACTCTTGTAACTCTGGACTCACAATTCTTTATGTAGACTTCAGCCCATTAAAATACCTTATAATGCTCAGTATTTTACTGCTACCCTAAACATTCTATATAGTGACTGTAGCAGTCTAAACAATGAGCTAAGCACATGATAAATATTTTTATTTTTAAACAATGAATTGTATGTTTGTCATATAAAACATGAGATTTAATCACCAGATTTTAAAAAATAACTACATTTGCCAAAATCTTCATATTTTTTACAGAAGCCAATGTTCTCTAAATCCGTAGCTTCATCTATCCTATAGCTTTTACAGATTCATAATCTCTTGAATACATTTCCAATATCCTTTAAAAATAAAACTTCATGAAAGATATTTTCATTTAACACATTAAAACTTAACAGGTTACAGTACAACTGTTCAGCTCTCCAGGTGCCACTGGAAACTTTTCAGCCAAATGTTGGAGGATTAATTCTCCGTATTTACTTTTATTAAAAACAGGTTTCTGGTAGTGAGAACAAATAATCTCTCATTTGTTGCCTGAAAGCCTAAAATAGGATCGTTGGTTTCCAGGCTTGCTACTTGCTGCTTAGCAACCTGGCCCACATGCCGGCCTTCCTTTCTGTTGTAGAGCACAGTGGACATGGGAGTAGGCTGCCGATAGATGAATACTCGGCGAAGGCACTCACAAAGGGCTGCGTAGGAATAATCTGGAGAACAGGCAAAAAATTTCTTGTCTCTCTTTGATGCTTGGACATAACCTGACAAGAATATAAGGGGGAAAAAGAACTGTATGTTAAACTGATGAGAGAACAGTCACGACTGAACACTTACTATTTCACAGTACCCATCACAAATTTCAATACTTAAGTGAAACATATACCATAATAGTCAACAGTGGATGAATTCAGCACCATTAATACTAAGCCACAATTCCTTCTAATAAGTGCAAAAATATAAGCTTAATTTAGTTACTAAGGAAAAAAACAGAGCTTCTCTTCAACAAAAAGCTTAATACAGTTCTATTTAATTTCTGTGAGATAAAATAATAAATATCTGAAATTTTAAATACCAAATATATAAAAAATTTAAATGCCTCGCTTAAACAAAAAACTTAAAATGACATGTTAAATTTTATTTTAAAAATAAATGAAGACGACACTAGATGATGGAAAGGCCTCCCATGCCCACGGATTGGCAGAATTAGTACTGTGAAACGGCTCTATTCGTGAAAGTGGTTTATAGTCTGCCAAAGATCCTTATCAAATTCTAATGATATTCTTTACAGAAACAGATAAAACAACCCTGGAATTCCTATGGAAGCACAAAAGACCCTAAATAGCCAAAGAAATTCTAAGCAGAAAGAAATGGCTAGAGGTTATTATAGTACTTATTGATTGCAAGCCACACTACAGAGCACAAGAACAAAAACAGCACACACAGACACAAAACCAGACATACAGATAAGTGGAATGGTATAGAGGGCCCATAAATAAATAAGCACAGCCAAAGCAACCTAACTGACAACAAAGGGGTCACTAACAAACATTAGAAATCCTACAGCCTCTAGAACAAGTGATCCTGGGAAACAGGGTAGCCACATGGAGAAGAATGAAGAAACAATTCCAAGTGGATCAAAAACTTTAAGACCTGAAATCCAGAAACTAGTATAGAAAAACATGTAAATAACAAGAGATAAGCAAAGGAAGGACTTTCAGGGAAAGACTACAATAGCTCAAGAAATAAAACCCAAAATGCCATTGGACAATGTGGAATTAAAAAGGCAATGCACAGCAAGGAAACAATTGTGAGAAGACATAGCCTACAGAGTGGGAGACTATCTTTGCTATCAATATATCAGAGAGATTATTTGTATCCAGAATATATAAAGAAGTCATAACTACCCCAAAGCCAAACAACTCCAGTGTATAAATGAGTGATGAAATGAACAGGTAGTTTTCAAAAGTGAAAGCACAAATTTCCAGTAGACATAAAAAATGTTTATCATCTTTAATGTGGAAATTCAAATTAGATCTCCATTGAGATTCTACCTGAGTATTCTCAGGATATCTGGTATTAAGAAAATGAAGGACAGTAAATGTTAGAAGAATGTGGAGAAAGAAGAACCCTCACTTCACTGCTGATGGGCGTGTACACTGGTGCAGACACTATGGAAATCAGCACAACCTGAAAAATAGAACTACTATATGATCCAGTTATAGCTGGTCATATAATAGAAGAAACCAAAGTTAGCGAACCAGGCATGCTTACACACCCATGTTTATTACAACACTATTTACAGAAGTGAAGATACAGAATTAGCTTAGATACCCAACAGACGAATGCATAATGAAAATGTGATATAAACACTCACAAAAATATGGTGTTTTATTCACCTGTAAAGAACAAAATATAGGTTGGAGAGATGGCTCAGAGGTTAAGAGCACTGGCTGCTCTTCCAGAGGTCCTGAGTTCAATTCCCATCAACCATATGGTGGCTGACAACCATCTATAGTGGGATTTGATGCCATCTTCTGGCATAAGGTCATACATGCAGATAGAGCACTCATATATACATAAAATAAATAAATAACTCTTGCTGGGCAGTAGTAGTGAAGCATGCCTTTAATCCCAACAGTTGGGAGGCAGAGCCAGGCAGATGTCTGTGAGTTCAAAGCCAGCCTGATCTACAGAGTGAGATCCAGGACAGGCACCAAAACTACACAGAGAAACTATGTCTTGAAAAATAAACAAACGAATGAACAAAATGATGTCATCTACAAGGGAACAGATGTGAATGGAGATTACTATGCTAAATGAAATCAGTCAGATTCAGAAAGACAAATATGGCATGTTTCTTTCACATACCAACTCTAGATTTATTACACACACACACACACACACACAAATATATGTAAATACAAAGAAAGATAGAAAGGTCAGACAGATGACAATGTAGGGAGAGGAAAGGTTCTAAAGGGAGTGGGAAGTAAAGAAGGAAGGATAAGGGAGGAAACAAAATATCACAGTTTTCTCATATGCAAATTCTAGGTTCAAATGCAAACATGTATATTTACATATTTTTACATATATGTTTACATATGCAAAAGTGAGTAAAGCCAGGAGGCACAAGCAGGTCAATACTGCTTTTAAAATATTAGGTAAGATGTGAAGATGGAAAAGTGAAGATGTAGGGATCTATCTGAGTAGATGAACATAAGCTGTCCAGGCAACTTTGATAGTAATGCACATAATAACTCAAGTACTATCTAATATAAAATTGATTGAACTTAGGATCAGGCACACCAGAATTCATTTGCAAGAGGGTTTTGACATGCAGTTGAAGACTCTGAGCATCTAAAGGTGACGTGGACGAACTTTGCTCTTCCTGAAGAAGATAATTACAAAATAGGAATTACAGTAGAGGCCCAAAATTGTGTGATTAATTAATCCATCAACCCCTTTAGCATTTCAAGTCATACAAATCCACTTAGAGTCTGAGTGAAGCAGTTTAGTCATAAGTGCGAGGTGACAAACTTCCTCATCAATTAGAGTTGCACATATATAGGCATTAAAACCCACAATTTTACATTTTTGCTGCCAATTTAAAATAAGCTTACAATAAAGCAATAACTGTAGCTAAATAACATAACAGAATTCCCACACAATACGGATATATTTTGGCTTAAAACCAATGATTGCATAGTCTATTGTTAAATACTTTTAAATTTTTTTCAAGGTGTGGTTTTAAAAAATATTTTTAACAATACATTTTAACAATAAATTCAATTTATACTTATCCTTTTCATAATTGCTTTCATTACCATGGCTTCTTGTTTTCATTGTGGTTTGGATTTTGAGTCAGGCTCTTTGTATATAACTCTGGCTGGCCTCATACTCTTGCCTCCTGCCTTGTCCATCCAGGTGGTGGGAATGTAGGTATGTACCACCAGGCCTGGATTCTTTTTCACTTAAGTTCAATGAAGTATGTCTTCTCATTAAAAATGTACATCCTTGTACAACAACTATATAATGTTTTAGAAGAGATTACTCTGAAGAGACTTAAATACAAGTTGCACGTACTGTGCTGGGGGATGTCTTTCTGTATGCTATGAATATATGTTGTTTCCATTGGTTATGGAAAGGCGGCTTAGAGGCAGGCAGGAAATCCAAGGAAAGACAGGAAAGAAAAAAGGCAGAGGTGGAAGAGATACTAGCCTGCTGCCCAGGGAACAAAAGACCAGCAGACCAGAAAAGCCATGGAACACACGGCAAAACATAGATTAATAGAAATGGGTTGATTTAAGGTGAAAGAGAAATGGGTTAATTTTAGACGAAAGAGCTAGGTGGCAAGAGGCTAAAGTCATAGGTCATACAGTTTGTAAATAAATAAGCCTCTGTGTATTTACTTGGGTCCGAGCAGCACCTGAGAAACTTAGGGCTAGAGTACCACAATGCCAAAGCCCTTACTCAAACTGTATTTTTTCAGTATTTAATTCAACCCATTAGAAAGATTCAAATGGTTATATTGCCACTTCCATGTTCATTCTGTGTTATCGTCTGTGCAACTGTAAGAACAGGTTCATCATTCTATTCTAACAGTGAATAGAACATAGACAACTAAATCGTAACATGAACCAATTAACTAGCAGAATAGTTTTCCTTTGAGATGACTAATTGAGTGGATTGGAAACGCTACTGAAGAGAATGCTTTCTACCTAGGGCATTGAAGGTCGCAATGTGCTCCCACATGTCATCCTGCTTGCTGCAGTGTGGTTGCCAGAGAAGGGCATCAACATCATGGCGTAGACAGAAGCAGGGCATTTCTTTAGGATCCACAGTGACTGAGAACAGGTACTGGTTGCTGCCAAGATTCACCTAAAGTGATAAGAATAAATTTATTCAAAAAGTTAGTAAAAGTGATGAAAACTGACATACAACATCATCAGCAACCATTGTAAAATGAACTTTCCTCCCTCCATTCTTTCTAAGACAAGGTCTTAGTATGTAGCTCAGGCTGGCCTTTAGTTGGAAATTCTCCTGTTTCAACCTAGCATTTCACACAGGAAGTACCAACTGAATAAAAAGAATAGTTTTAAATCACAGAATACAAAGATTAAACTTACTAATGTTAACTTGTCAATATTACCAAGAATAATTAACAGCTACTACAACTTATGGGCATATTCTATATGTCAGGCATGGTCTAAGTACTAATTCCCATAGCTCAAGAGGCTGCTGTTATATTCATGCAATAGTTCAAAGCAGTGCCTTGAGATTTTGAGTAACTGCTTCTATGCTACAAGGAAAAAAATCACAGTATTAGATAAAGCCTCAGAGCCAATTGCTCCACTGTGCTCCTGAATTGCAGTATTAATATCAATATTATTAGCAGCTACTACTGTAATATTAATGCTTGAGGAGAGCATTTCACTACAAAAATCATCATTTCAGATTCACAGTTGGATCCCACACATAGGGAAACTTCTTTAATAGAGCTAGGTTGTAGCCGTGTTCTTTATCAGCCATTCTATTATTAAAGAATTAAATATTGGCAGAAATAATATCAAATGTAGATGCTAAGGTTAGGGTTAGGGTGGAGATGCCGAGTGTATGATAAATGCTGACTTGAGTCTATAAATTTGACAGTACAATGAAGAACAAAACGTTGGGTAAGAAGCTGAGAACTGACTTGCACTCTGTAAGGAACACTGTGAAAGGCTATAGCACAAGGATTTACTGGCTCACCAGGGCAACCTAGGCTCTCAGAGTCCAACAGAAAAGCTGCCGACCTCGTGAGAATAACCTCCAGGAACAGAGATTTTAGGGAGCCCCAGAGCTCAGTCTGCAGCAAGGAAACGGGCTGGGGTGCTCTCCCCACTGCTTATCTCTTCTTCCCTTGCTCTGGACTGTCAGGGGCTAAGTGAGACTTATTTTCAAAATACCACTACTGAACGGGCCTGTTAAGAGAGCCTCAGAGGAGCCAGCACTGCCTCGGCTTTCCTCACCTCCACTGCTTTTCTCTGAATTACCAGGCTTTCCCAGGAGGACAAACCTAACTGAGGTACAAGTGGGCTACAAGAGAACTTTCATAAAAATGCGTTTACTTTCATGAGTGAAGTGAGTATTACCATTACTAATGAAATAACTAACTCATCCCTGAGCCTCCTGTGCATGCGGTGACTGGACAGTGTGAGAAAGGAACAAATCAAGCATCAACCGAAAGCTTAACCAAGAGAGAGATCAAACGAGAGGGTGTGGATCAGGTCTCTCATCTTGTTCTGACTAGATCTTTCTCTTCATCCACTTACTTACCCATACTTGTGCTACGGGCCACAGGAAAATATTATAAGAACTCAGATGGTTATGGCAAAGCCACTACCTGAAGGGATCAAGGAATTTCTTCAGAGGAAGCCAAATTCCAAGGAGCTTTTGGTGTTATTTGGTTTGTTTTATTTATATACATATATATACATATATATGTATATATAGATATATAGATGTCTTCTGTTATGAAAATCATGTGTGCCTTCGTAGCAATTGATTTTTCCCTAAGAATTGCTAACAGTGTGGACTGATCACTCTTTGGACATATACCTTCATGGTATTTGGAGAACAGCCTCAGGAAAGGCTTCCTTCCCCCCAGCCCATCTGTTTTTTCCCTTTCAGCACTGGAATCAGATATCTCCACATTCAAGGACTAACAGTAATAACAGTCTAGATCACCACATACAAGTCTCCTGATTTAAGGTAAATTCCACAAGGAGACACCGCCTAGGTCGGGTGGACCTTAAGTAATAGCTTGGAACCTACTTTCTTACAGTCTCACTAACTTTATAGACCCCTAACTTCTTACCTAACCACTTCTTGGAATGTAGATTGAGCACACAGATCCCTTTTTGGATATACTAACCGGTCATCAGCACTCAGTTGACCTCTTCTTTTACCACTCCCATTTTGGATTATAAAAGAAAGCCTGGTGGTCACTGCCTGAGGAAAATGCTTACCTGTCTTTTTAACCCCGTAATTCTAACCTGGTGACCTTGCTCGGGAAGAGGATTGCTATTGCTTGGGTTTATAACTGGATTCCTGAGAAATTTAGAAAGAGTTGAGAGAAGACAAAGAACAGAGAGGTAGAAGGGCTGAGAGAGGAGGATTTTTGAAGAGAGAACTTGAAGACATGACAGAAAAGAGACAAGAGAACGGAAGAACTAGATGGGTAAGAACTGGAGAAGAATGAACTAGATGGGAAGAACTAGATTGAAGGGCTAAAAGAGAATACTAGAGGAACAAGATGGAAGATGAGGAAGAGCCAGATGGGAAAGAACAAGATGAGAGAGAAAGAGACGGGAGAGGAACTGATATAGGAAAGAACTAGATGGATGAGAACCTAGAAGGGGCAGAACTAAGATGAAGGAATTAAGATAGAACCTAAAGGGGACAGCAGATGAATGTAGAGAGAAATCAGGCAAGAAAGGAGCTAAAAATGAGAGCAGAATAGAAGCTGTATATAGAGAGAACTATCATAGAATAATAAGGTGTATGAACTAAGGAGTTTCGTGTATATAAATTCATTTCTTTTCATCAAAGATTAATTATCAGCTGGTTGTAGATTCTTCCTGGACGCTGGGAGGGGACTATCAAAGGGTTGGATCCCCTTAGTCCTTGATACACTTGCATCACACAGTATGTCAAAGTGCTACAGTCTGTATTTATTGACTCCTCTTGTCCCCTTCACATTCTACTTATCCCCCCAAGACACAGTTCAATCATCACCTTTTCCTGGAATACTTACCATGATCCTAGGAGATGCTCAACTCTAAAAACTCATTACATGTCTATTATTTCTAACAAAATATATTGCTATACTAGATTATAGTTAAGCATGCAGACCATCTATGGTAGGCCAAATATTATCACCCTGGTACACCCACACCTTAGTCTTCTGACTTCTGAATATTTCTTTAGATAGTGATGAGGTATGTATAGGATTTTCAAATGGCAAGATTACCCTGAATTATCTGAGTGAACTCAATGTATTAGTGAGCTTCCTTGTAAGAGGGAGAGAAGGTAAAAAACATGGATGAAAACAAGAGAACAGACACAATGAGAAAGAGGGTGACTGCAAGATACTACACTGTTGATTGTGTGACTAAGGGATGTGCCAAAAGTCAAGCATGTAAGCAGCCTCTGAAAGTGAGAAATGAAGGAATGAAGTCTCCCATAGAAATCTTCAAAGCAATACAGACAGACCTCACAACCATTTTAGAACTTCTGACATTCAGAATTAAACTGGAATGAATTACGATTTTTTAGTCACTAATTCATGCGATTTGTCACAGTAAGAGTAACCCAAGATAGTTGCCATGTTAGTAAATAGCTTGAGAACTAAACGTTTGTCTTGTTTCCATATTCTATGTCTTTATTGCATAGTTATTTTAAAACTATTTTCACCAAGGCTCTGTACTCAGATATGAGATTATTACAGTCTATTTTACAGTCAGAAAAACTAAAAGACTTTTAAGTGAAATATTTGACAACCAGATTCTTAAAGAATATTCCTGGTGGGGAACAGGCTCACTGGTGCAGATGGGTTTCTGTGCTTTCTGTTTTGATCTCCCAAATTCGGCTACTCATCCTGCCCTGTCCCCACCCTCCCGCCCCTTGCCCTGGCTTTCAGTGTTTTTGACAATGTCCATGCATTTCCTTCTAATGCACCCACATCAAGCTCTTTAGAGGATATGACTCCAACAGCCCAGCTCCATCTCATCAGTTTTCTCTGTACTTTCAGCACTACAACATTCCATGCGTTAATTTAATTGATGAAGACAACTCACCTCTACAAGTTACTTTCTGCTTTGGCTATAGTTTGCTCTTTTCTTCATGTGGAAACTTAAGTAATGCAACATGGGGTGATGTAAATTTCCCCCTGAAGCACCTAGCCTCCTGTCTATGCTGGGTGTCATCTGTACTCAACACAAAAGTCCTCTTGACTTGTGAGTTACTGAGAAATGTGTCCCTGAATTTCCACATATTTTTGCATCACTAATTATGGCCTGAAGCTGCTAGCCAGAGAGCATTTTCTATCCATTCTCTTAGAACTTGTTTTTGTTTGGTCTTGAGTATGCTCTATTTTGATGAGCATTCCTTGGCTCTTTTCAGACTCTCTACTTAGTGTTATATACAGACCCTTGCATATGTTCGAGGGAAGCAACAGCAAACACTGAACACTCTCCTGCCAGACAGTGCGCTGCAAATAGACACTTTGATGGGATGTGGAAAGTTTCAGTACTGGAGATTTTTAGCATGCCCCTCTCAAGGTTATTCATTTTGTTGGTTTTGTGGTGCACTGAGTACACATGAGTCTGTTTAGTGCAATTCTTTTTGAATTGCTTTTTTTTTTAATTCTTAATTTTATTCTTTTCCAATTTTTATCTCTAATGTGTAGCATGTCTTTATCTTTTCTACTTTGTCTTTACCATAATACTGTGGTAATTCCAATCATGAGTCACTTCTGAGCCTTGTTTCTTAACAACAGGATTTTACTATTGTGGAGAGTTGCTTTTGCCACTTCTGTGACGACGTGCCTGTCATAAACAGCGTCTAGGACGAAGACTTCCTTTGGCTCCCTGTTTCAGTCACCACAGTGGAGGGGAGAGCAGGAACAGAAGAGCTTACATCATGGTGGCAGGGGTACAGCGGGGATGGGCGTGGAGTAGGGCATATGCTTGTGCCAACTGGCTTTCTCTTTTCCTGTACTTATCAATCTGGGACCTTAGCCTATCAGATGGCACCTTTCACATTCAGGGCAGGACTTCCTCCCTTAGTCACTCCTCTCTGCAAAAGCCTTCACACAACAACCCCAGAAATGAACTTTT